TCACCCAAGAATATTAATTTGAGAGAAAGAGAAACATGATGTGAGAAAACATCGATCTGTTGCCTCTCATATGTGCCCTGACCAGGGACTGAACCCACTAACTAGGTGCGTGCCCTGATCGAAGGGGAGCAAACCCACAACCTTTGACGTTTTAGTGTAAGGGACGATGCTCCAATCAACAGAGCTGCGCAGCCAGGGCTAGGGATTTTCTTCGACATTTATTCTGTGACAGTTCTGGAGGCCAGAAATACGAAATGGGCCTCAAGGGGCTAAATCCAGGTGTGGGCAGGGCTGATCCTTTGGAGGCTCCAGGGAGAGTCATTTCTGGCCTTTTCCAGCTTCTAGAGGTGCTGCATCCCAGGCTCGTGGCCCTTTCCTCTGTCTTCACAATCAGCAGTGCCACCTCTTCCATCTCTGACTCTGACCCTCCTGCCTCCCTCTGATGAGGACCTGGTAGTGACCCTGGGCTGGCCCCCAGAGAATCCAAGGTCATCCACATCTCAGGGTCCTTTACTTAATGCCACCTGCAAAGTCCCTCTGTCTCGCATCCACAGGTACAGAAACTGAAAAGGGGATGTCTCTGGGGGATGCTATTCTGCTAACACCAGGGCATAACTGACCTTCCTGAAGCATGAAGCCAGCCAGCTCTGCCCTCTGCCTGGCTCTAGGTGGAGTGTCATGAGCACAAATAGAACTCAGAGCCACTCCAAGCCTGGGGCTTGGCCTGGCAGAAAGCTGACCATGGCCCCTGAACCACTCCTGGAGTCCGCCAGCAGGGAGAGGCCCTTGGCTGTGAGATAAGATGATTTGGGAGCAGGCCAGCTGAGTGGTGCGGCCTGGCCAAGCACAGGGCTTCCTCCACATTCACCTCCCTTTTTCTCTTGGCCCCCAATACCCATCCAGCTACACTCTGGCCTTCCTCTCTGTCCTCCTCTGGTTGTGCCCCTCCTAGGACCTGTATACATGCCGTGAAAGCCTCCACCCTCTTCATGTATACAGGGGGTATACATGATGCCCCAGGTCACTGTTGGGGAGCAGGCTGTCGGGAATAGGAAACCTGGCTTCCCCAAAAGCCACCTGAGTGGCCTTGGACGTGATAGAGAAGTGATGAGAAGCCAAGTGCCCCATTGTCAGTCGCTGGGCAGGGCGGTGGCCTTTGGCCATCTGCTGAACCAATCCTGATCACCCCCTGGCCCTTGGGACTTCTGGTGACTGACCCCTGAGAGGCAAGACCTGGGCAGTGCTACCCCCTTTCACAGTGGGGTGGGCCTCAAGCCTGCAGAGACAACCACAGCCAGGCAGGCTGTGGAGCCTGGAGCTCCTGGCCACACCCACCCCTGCTTTCCTTGCTCCCTGCCCTACCCCCTACCCCCTCAAGGAGGACTGGAGCCCTGGCTCATGCCCCAGGACTGCTGAGCCACTGGAATGGAGTGTGAGCTGTGAGTCAGCCAGCAGGAAGAGACACTTACAGCCACTTGCATCAGATGTTCCTGCCTTGTGGTGCCACTGCCAGAGGCCCTGGCCCATGACCCTCATTTATCTAAGGATCTCCTGGGCTTGTAGTTCCTGTCTTTGGGGGGGGTCTGACAGGTGAGAACATGCAGAGAGGACGCAGGCCAGGCTGGGTGCCAGCCCAGGACTCTGACTCCACCCGCCCCCCCCCATACCCATAACCACTCCAAACTCTAGCTCTAACCCTGATTCTAGCTTAGAAGCTGGGCTGGGATCTGGGCTCCTTGCTCCTAACACAGCAGCCCAGCACTAAAGGGCCAGCTCAGTGAGCCTCAGAGCCTCAGGTGTCTGGCTCTGAGCAGAGGAGAGAGTAATCATCCCCTCAAAGGCACAGGCTTGTGAGGATACTGTGATGGTCCCAGTACCAGCCCCACAGCTCCCAACCCCACACAGGTGTGTGCACGTTCCCCACACCTCCACTCCACTCTCAGAGATGCACTGGCTCAGTGCCTCTGTGAACATGCACAGACATACACACACACACCCCAGCCTGCTCACACTTGCATACACATCAAACTGGTGCCTTTTTTTAATGTTGGGGGACAAAGGTCTTTACTGTTACTCCCTGGTAGGTTTGCCAGAAAAAATACAGGGAACCAGTTAAATTTGAATTTCAGATAAACAATAATTGCTTGAGACATATTTATACATGGGATTCATACTGAAAAGTTATTCATTGTTTATCTGAAATTCAAATTTCATTGGCATGCTCTGTTTTATGTGCTAAGTCTGGGAGCTCTACCTGCTGGTTGTGGAGGCTCTGAGCTGCCCTGGGGTTCCCCAGTCAGTACTCAGGAGGTGAACTCTGAGCCCCAACTGATCCCCCAACTAAGCCACCAAGCCAGGGCTCCAGCCACCTGACCAGGTCAAAGTGGATGCCGCTTAGCCAGCTGGTCTCCTCCTGGCTCAAAAGAGGGAGGCGAGGAAAAGCAGAGACCCCAGGGCTGGCAGTCAGGGCCTGCCTTGTGTCTTCTCTGGAGTTTGAGGATGATCATATATGGGGATGATCATATGTGTGACATAGGCTGAGAGTCACCCTGCAGAAGTGAAAGGCTTCTCTCAAGGGCTGGCTGGAGGCGGACGGGACACCTTCCAGAGAGCCAGCTCCCTACACCTTTGGCCCAAGGTTTGTCAAGTCCCCTCCATGACTGGGGTGGGAAAGGTATTCACTTCCAGTCTCTCCTTTTCCAGGCCATCACCTCCCAGAAACCTCTTCCTGCTCTGGGAGCCTCAGGCTGGCCCCTGGCCCTCCAGGGCAATCTTGAGTCCCCCTCCCAGGCTGCCCATTTTCCCTGGCATCCTGCACCCTGCATTCCCTTTCCATTGTCCTGCACCCTGCCTGTCCTGCGCATCAGCCCTGTCTGGACCTGCCTCTTGCTGACTTGTCACTGCCCCAGCCTGGATGGAGGAAACCTGCTGCCCCCAAATCAGAAGGCTTGAGAGTAGGGGCCAGGCTTCCTGCCTCACATGCCTAGCAGCCTCCTTCCACCCAGGGGCAGGTTGGATCTCCTCCCAGAAGTAGGGGAGACCCCTGGGGGGGGCCCAGGAAAAGCATACAGAGTGGGAAGGACCAGCTGTGCCCCCAGATGTACCTTCCAGCCCTCCCACCTTCCCCAGACCCTAAAAACCCAACACTTCTGGAAGCTGGGCCTGTAAAGAGGGCCATCCTCCAGGAGGATGGCAGGTATTGGCTGTCTGGGGCTGGTGGCCAGCCTACATCAGGACAGCGCTGAGGCCTAAGAGCCAGCAGGCAGGGCACAGAGGTCCTTCCCCTCCACTGATTCCCACTAGCATCCCCCCTCGCCCCCAGAGCAGGCTGGGCTGGGGCTGTACCTGGTTGTCTCACTCGGGCCAGCACAGCCAAGGTACCCACTGATGCCTGCACCAAGATGGTCCCAGTGCTTGGCCCTCATACTTTACAAGACCATGGACACCAAAGACAGCTGGCACTACCAGGTGCTGGAAGAAGCTGGAATGATCTTCCCCTAAAGTCTACTGGTGAGGGCATGGCCCTGCTGATACCATGATTTCAGATTTCTGGCCTCCAAAGTGAGAGAGTATAAATTTATGTTATTTTAAGCCACCCTGTGCGGTACCTTGTTAGAGCAGCCGCAGGAAGCTATCACACTTGAACCACCGCTATAACAGGCACACACCCAACCCCACACACATGCATGTATGTGAACACATATACAAATGCTCAAACACATGCCTTCTTTTCAGTACTCGTTGAGTACTTCCTGCCTGTGTTCCAGGCCCTGCGCTGGGCAATGGCTAGATCTGTGCCTTCATGGAACTGACCTTCTGGGGAGGGGCAGTGGCCCACTGATATCCACTCTGTCATCCAGAGGTACATGAAGACCTGCAGGTGACCACAAATGCACAGGAGGCAGGGGTGGCAAGAGAGGTGGAAGGACGAGGAAGGACCCATGACTTACCCTGGGCAGACAGGTCTGGCAGCCCAGCCTCAGGCACCTGGAGCCAATGTATGTGTCTACACACACGCACATATGCACATGCAGGGGCTGGCTGGGGAGGTCCTTCCAAACAACATGGAAGGCTAGCTGAGGTTAGACCTTATAGCTCCTGTGGCCTGAGCTGTGGTCTTGTGGGGGAAGCATATAAATAGAAGTGGCTAGTGGATGAGGGGACAGTCCACCTTCGGGTCAGCTGGGCCTGGCTGGGGGAGTTGGGGGTGGGTCGGTGGAGGCCTCTGGAAGAACAAGCTAGGTCCTGGGGGACAGGAGGACTCCAACTCACAGGCCTGTGCTCTCCATGTACCCAGGCTGCTTCACTGGGCTGGGGGGACAGGGAGTTAGTGGGGATCAGGTACGGTTGATTGTATCTTAGCCTGGATCGGGTGCCCCAGCCAAAATGGGATTGTTTTACCTCCTGTTCTAGCCCCCCACCCCATCAGTCCAGAAAAAACCCTCCTTTGCAGGACTGAGGGAGGGTCCTTCATGGATGTTAGTACCCATTCCCTACTATGGTCCCTTTTCCCTGCCAACAACAGGATGAAACCCTAGGGAAGTTCAAAGCCTGTTCCGGTGTGCCTGGAGGGCAACTGGCGCCTGGATCAGGGAGCTGCAAGGCAGGTTCTAGAGGAGAAACGTCGCCAAAAAGAGTCAATGTATCCTAGGCCCTGGGCGGCACACTAGGGGACTTGACAGAAGGCAGGGCCAGGATCCAACTCCGGCTCCGTATCAGAGTCCCACAGGCCTCAAGTCTCAGACACCCCCCCCCTGCAGCCGCCGTAACCCCTCCTCTATCACGCGCCCCTATCAAAGCGCGCTGCACAGCGCAAGCGCATAGGTACGCACACCACGTCCAGAGCAGGCAGCCTCAGTCAAGCCCACAGAGCCCTTCCAACTCCGCCCCCTCCGCGAGCGTGTAGGCGGGGGTCCCAGGGGCGGGGTTTGCGTCGGGGCGGGGCCTCGCCTGGCCCTTAAAGACGGCGGCGGCCGGGCGCGCGCGACTCCACTCGGCGGCGGTGGCGGCCTGGGTGGTGGGGGTCTACGGTGGTTGTGGTGGTGGCGGCGGCGGCGCTGCTGTTCCCCGCGCGGTCCGCGCTGCGCGTGTCGGGCGGCGGCGAAGGAACTGCGGCCCCGGCCCGACCCCGACCCCGGTGAGTGCGGCCCTGCGACCCCGGCCCGGCCTGTCCTCGACCCGGGCGCGGGGATCGGGCCCCGCGGAACCTCGCCGTCCAGGCCTGGGCTCCCGGTGCGCTGGCCGCGGCCACTGACGCCCTCCTTTGTCTGCTCCCTCCTGCAGGGACCCTTCCCCAGCCGCCCCCCGCCCACGGGCCGCCCCCGGGGCCCGTAGTCCCCTACCCCGCTGGCGGGGCCCGGACAGAAGATGGTGCAGAAGAAAACAGCCGAACTTCAGGGCTTCCATCGTTCGTTCAAGGTGAGGGCCTTGTTGGTTTCAGGGGCGCCCCGGGCTTGGCCACCCGAGTGGCCGGTGGGAGAGGCGCGGAGCTCGTCCTCAGGATCCCCAGGGCTCTTGCCCGCCCCCCACCTGGGCCCTGGGGCTGCCCCAGCGGTGTGCGCGCCCGTGGTGTAGTCAGCCACCGACAGTCCAGTCTCATGCGCCCTGGGGCCTCTAGAGTCTTTCCTGTAGGAACTCTAGGCCGGCCAGGGGCTCCTGCCCGTGGAGGCCCTTAGTTATGTGTCCCTTGCAAGCCCTAGCTGGTGTATAGCGCTGGGTGGGGCGTCAGCAGGCCACAGTCCTGTTGCCAGCACCATGAGGTCTGTGGGGTCCTTCCTCCCAGAGCCCCAGGCAGTGCTGCAGGCCCACCCCTCCCACACATGCTCTCCTAGGTGGTCTGAGGAATGGGGTTGTAGATTGGATGCCCCCCACCCTGCACCTCCCAGACACCCCAGGCCCAAGCACTATTTCCTGTTGGAGCGAGAAGTTTCTGTGGTGGCCCCGTGGCTTCGGAGTCTTGGTCTCAGAGCAAGTCTAGGGGGTTCGGGCAGGTGCTGGGCAGGGGCTCCAGAGGGCCTGGCCCAAGGGACGCAGTGATGTCAGCAGCCACCCCACCCTGCTTGTCAAGTTATGTAATGGCTTTCCTGGGCCTCTTTGGGCAGGGACCTGTTGCCCGGTAGAGGAGGCAGGACCTGTGTGTGTGTGTGTGTACAGACAAGCCAGACACCAGGGTGGGAGGAGCCAGCCTAGAGTGTTTGGGTTAGAATTCCCAGGCCTGTCCAGCCAGCGTTTCCTGCCAGTGCCCCACCCCGTGCACACACACGTCATCCCCCCACAGAATAGTGACAGTCTTGGCGTGTCCAAGTGGCCTGGCTGAGTGGGAGAGAGGTGGACTCAGGATCTCACTGGTGGTGGTCTGTTAACTCCTGGGGCTGGATCTGAGCTGAGACAGGGTCAGTGGGAAGGGCCAGCTCTGCGGTCAAAGCATACTCAAACTTTCTGGATGGTTCCAGCCACCTCCTGCCAAAGCCTGCTGACTGGAGGCCCACAGCCAGCCCTGGGCCTGGCCCGCCTACACTGCCTAGGCCTGAAGGCTGGCATTTGCAGGCTGCCTGAGAGCCCTGTGTGCCCTGTGCTGAGGCGGGACTGGGAGAGTCTCATGGGAGGGAGTACGGACACTGGACAGGGAATCTTGGCTGAGGTGGCTGTCCAGGGTCCATCTCTTCTGAGTTGGGGGCTGGGACAGACATACGGGGGTGGCGAAAGTACCCATGATCCCCTCGGGTCCTTACACCTTTACTCAGTTGTTGGGGGCAGCCTTCTCATGTCCTGATCACCCCCTCCATCCTACTCACCCCCTTTTGTGGCTTCCCTGGGGCCCCTCCTTTCAGGTGGAAGATGGAGATTTACCAGAGCATTGATTTCAGTCCCCATGGGAGCCAGTCTGCTCAAGGGGCAGGGGCTGGTGGATGAGCGTCGGCAGACTGGTTGCAGTGCTCCTTTCCTCCCTTTCCCCTGTACCTCCTAACAACTGTCTGCAGGGTGTGTAGGGAGGCTGGGAGGGCCCGCCTGTTATTCAGCTGCTCCCTCTGACCTCTGCCTGCCCTCTCTGCAGCTGGCCTGGCTTCCGGGCTTCTTGTCTGTAGGAATCTGGCCTGGCAGAGTGGGCCCCTCCGGGTATCCCTAGGGTTCTCCTGGAGTTTCTTCTCTGTTGAATGACCCTCATCCCACAGCCCCACTGGAGTTTCTTCTCTGTTGAATGACCCTCATCCCACAGCCCCAACTCCAGCTGTCACGAGGCCCAGAGAGGGCCAGTGACTTGGCCCAGGTCATCAGGCATTAGCCCTAGCACCACAATTGCAGATGCAGGCTCCCCCACCCCATGCCCACCAGGGCCCTGACCACCTGGCCCACCACAAGGTTGGGAGTTAAATTAGAACTAACTCCTGAAGGAACCCAGCCAGGTCTCAGTGTCCCAGCCTCGAAGTCTTTATGTGCGGGACTGTCAGTCCTCACACAGGATCATCTGCTTTGCACAAATGGCATTTATCCCAGCAGCCCTCTATTTGCCACATAGGAGTTTTCTCCAATGCCCAGCTACTTGTCTTTCTTGGGCAAGGTCTGGTGCCTCTCCCTAGTTCTGGGGGCCACCCAATGACCTTGAATAGGCCCCTCCCTGACAGGGCTAGTTTATTTTGCTGGGCACTAGGCCTGTGAAGGGCACCCTCTTAGGGGTATCTGGGGATGAATGGGACAATGAAGGCTGTGGCCCTGGCAGAGGCAGCCCATTGTTCATGCTGGAGCCTATGGGTGCCTCTCCTGTGAGCTTCGGGGGAATGGTGGAACAGGGGAGAGAGCGGCATAAGGCAGGGAGGTTGATGGCACCTCATTACAGAGGAAGGGCTGAGCCCATGAGGCCGTGGGAAAGCAGGCAGGGCAGCCAGCTGGGAGCCCCACCCTAGAGCTGATAAATCACCCCCTTGCTGACAGCTCTTCACCTTTGGTCCCGAGCCAGCTGTCCCCATTCTGCAGGTGAGGAAATCAAGGTTCCCACAGTGACTCTCACTTGCTCCCTGGCAGCCGTGAGGGCCCTGGGCTGGGGGTAGAAGGTCTGTTTCTTTACGGTCAGTCAGAGCCAGGCTTTCTCTCCCTTGGCTTATGTACATAGGCCAGGTCATTCTGTGATAGACAGCCTTAACAGCAGCAGGGCCTGAGAGTTCCCTCCTCTTCTCTGCAGGGGCAGAATCCTTTCGAGCTGGCCTTCTCCTTAGAACAAGCTCACCTCGGGGAGACTGACTTCATCCTGGAGCACCCAGCCCGCCCTGGTGAGGGGCCCAGGAGAGTGGGGACTGTGGGGGAGGGCTAGGTGGTGCCTGAGAGCTGCAGAGGCCAGATGGGCCTCATGGGCCTCATGTCCCGGTCTCCTGGTGCAGATATGCCCACGAGCCAGCCCATTGACATCCCAGATGCCAAGAAAAGGAGCAAGAAGAAAAAGCGGTGCCGGGCAACTGACAGCTTCTCAGGCAGGTTTGAAGGTGAGTAGGGTAGGCGGAGCCAGGGACAGTGGGGAGATGACTAGGCCACCCAGGGTGGCTCTCACTACCACCCGTGCTCCCCAGATGTCTACCAGCTACAAGAGGATGTGCTTGGGGAGGGTGCCCACGCCCGTGTGCAGACCTGTATCAACCTCATCACCAACCAGGAGTATGCCGTCAAGGTGAGCACAGTGCCCTCACCTGTCCCCTTACCTCTTCCCAGCAGCACTTGGGACCTGGTGCAGACCCTGGTAGTGGGAGGAAGGGAACTGGCATTTGAACTCCTGGACTCATAACTGGGGAAAACTAGTGTCTAAAAATGGCCCCAGGGCCAGTGACTCAGGCCACCCCTAGGAATCCAGGTCAGCCTGCACTGAGTCCCCAAATCCAGGCAGAGGTGGGAAGTGACTGTGAAGGGCAGTCCCTTATGCAGGTGGCTAAGGACCTGGTACCAGAATGGCCACTGAGGGGGGGACAGGGGCAGGGCTTTTATCAAAGCTGATGCTTGGCTCTGGCTGGTATAACTCAGTGGATTGAGTGCAGGCCCACCAACCAAACAACCACGGTTCTATTCCCAGTCAGGGCACATGCCTGGGTTGCAGGCCAGTTCCCAGCAGGGCACACACAAGAGGCAACCATACATTGATATTTCTCTTCCTTTCTCCTTCCCTTCCTCCTCTGAAGATAGATAAATAAAAATCTTTTTTAAAAAAAGCTGATGCTTTCCAGTTAGGTAACCTCAGGCTGGCCCCCAGGGACAACTAGTATCCCTGGATTCATTACTAGGATTAAAAGTCAATACTGTACTGAGGGCTCAGCATTCAGGGGGACCAGGGCAGAGCCTCCTTCCCACCCCATGTGGCCTCTGACCCAAGATATGGCCTCGGACCTGTGGCCCTGTGGCCCTGTGACCTCTGTTGTCTGGCCAGACTGTTGGACTCTGTATTTCAAGAAACCTTCCAGGCTCTTGTGACCCCGCATTGGGGCTGGGTGGAGTCATAGGAGGCTGGCTGCCCAGGCCGGGAGGCCAGGTGCTCCCTGGCAAGCAGGGCTGACCAGAAGCTTCAGGCTCTGGTGGAAGTCCAGTCACAAAGGTGGCTGTGGTCGCTGCCCCCTGGAAGCCCCCAGGTGCAGTGGCAATGGTGTGGAAGAATTAAACACTTAGAATGGAGCGCTGGCTAGTGTGGCTCAGTGGAATGAGCATCAGCTTGCCAGCCAAAATGTCACCGGTTCAATTCCTAGTCAGGGTACTTGACTGGGTTGCGGACCAGACCCCCAGTGGGAGTGTGCAAGAGACAAGTAATTGTTTCTCTCACACAGCGATGCTTCTCTAAATAAAATCTTTAAAAAATACACTTAGAATGGAGCTTGTGCATATGAGGTGTATCTCTGAGCACCTTTCTCCTAAGGAGCCTGCTGGGCAGCCTGGCTCACTGTCACTGTTTGACAGATAGGGAAACTGGGGCTCAGAGGGAGTAGGTAGCCTGATTCACACCGCGTGTGACCTTCCAGAAGGCCATCTCCCTCTTCTAAGGCACTGCAGTCTTCTCTGTGAAGTAGGGTCCCAGCCAGATTCTCCAGGGGCAGGATGAGGTTTGGTTTAGTGCAGAAGGGTGTGGCTGGTGGCTTTGTCTCAAGAGGCCCTGGAATCTGGTTCTTCTGCCCCTCTTTGGGACAGGTGTGTTTGTCACTAGACACGTGAGATACGTGGGACAGTGCATAGGCCCAGGTCTTGAAGGCCAGGGACTTGTGTGCCTGCCTGCTGCGGGGTCCTGGCCCGTGGAACACACCACATTCCTTTCCTCAGGGCTGCTGTGATGGGAAGGGAGCCTGGGCATGGGTGGTAACAGCCTGCCCATCCTCCCAGCCAGGAGGGAACCCGAGGCACCCTCTGACCCCACCTGTCTGTGAGCAAAGGTGGCTGGGGGCATGTGGGTGATGGGTCCAGAACTTTCTGGCCCTTAGAGCTAGAGCTCCTGGGTGCCAGGTGGGGCTGGCACTGAAGTGTGGGTTGGCTTGCTAAGGCTCTGGAGTCTGGGAGGCTGGGTCTGCTGGTGGGCAGCAGGGCCACTGTGGGCTGGCCTGAAACACCTAGGCTCATGGGGCCACAGATATCAACACAGACTGGTGTGGAACTAGGGAGGCAGGACTTGGTGCAGAGGCAGGTGGGTATGGCTTGACTGGCAGCCAGGTGCCCGGAGGCCCCGCTAGTCCCCTGGGTGGTATGGGAGCCAACACAGTGGCCACCAGTCTCCTCATCAGGAAGGAGAGGCTTCTCAGTCCAAGGGAACCTGCCACTGTGAAAAGGTGTTCCCAGGTCCCAAATACATCCCTGGGCCTGTCAGGGTCAGGAGTGGAGAGGGCCTGGCTCTTTTTCTCTGCCTTCTTGTCCCACTCACCCCTCCCTCAGTGTTGCTCAGGAAACACATTGCCCCACTACTTGTGCTGATAATGCAGTTCTGACTTCTGGCAACTTCTGGGTCCCCATAGGAGAGCTCTGCTTTCCAGAGCTTAACGATCTAAAGCTCTAACAGTTTCAGGCGTGGCACAGGGAAAGTTTCTGGTGGGGCCCCTTGGGCTTTGGAAAGTCAGGCTGACCCAGCTGCTGTGTTCCCCCACCCCCACACGTTTCAGATCATTGAAAAGCAGCCCGGCCACATTCGGAGTAGGGTTTTTCGGGAGGTGGAGATGCTGTATCAGTGCCAGGGACACAGGTAATGTGATTCACCCTCAGCCCCAAGCCATGTCTTAGCAAATGAATGGGCCTGAATGCTTCTTTATCCCCAGCAAGCACTTAGGGAGCTCCCACTGTGTTCCAGGCCATTGCGGTTGGGCTCAGTGTTAGGCAGCAGTTCAAAGTTGGCGAGGTGGAAGGAGGCCTGTGGACCCAGTCCCAGCCTTCCTGTGGGCAGGTGGAGGTGGGGAGGGCATGCCCCTCCCAGACTGGGCATGCACAAGGGCCTTACTCCTATCCTGCCCCATCCCTCCCACCCCAGGAACGTTCTAGAGCTGATTGAGTTCTTCGAGGAGGAGGACCGCTTCTACCTGGTGTTTGAGAAGATGCGTGGTGGTACGTGGGGCCTGGGAGACATGCCCAGTGAGGTCCTAATGAGCCATGGGCCCAAGGCCACCATGAAAGGCCTTTTAGAGGGTCCTGTACACCAGAGGGGTATTTGGGGGGCCTGGGCTTCCTATCCTCACAGTAGCTCGGTTCCAGGACTTTGGGCTGAAAGAGGCCAGAGTGGGGACTTCCCTGCCAGGTGGGAGGGGCTTCTGGGTGGTAGCCTGGGGACACAGAGGTGACCCTTACACATTTTTTCCCTCCATTATGGCCTGGCACCAGGCTCTATCCTGAGCCACATTCATAAGCGAAGACACTTTAATGAGTTGGAGGCCAGCGTGGTCGTGCAGGACGTGGCCAGCGCCTTGGATTTCCTGCACAACAAAGGTGGGTTGTCTGCTCAGGGTGCCACCTATTTCTCACCAACCTGCCTGGGTCCTGTGGGTGTCCAGCCTTGCCCCCAGCACACCTGCCCAGGGCTCCTGAAAGGTAAGCTGACCCCACCCACTGACCCTCCCTTTTGGTTTTACCCACAGGTATCGCCCACAGAGACCTAAAGCCAGAAAACATCCTTTGTGAGCACCCCAACCAGGTATGGGGGGGGTTGTGACCTCTGTGGAATGGGGTGGATGGGGCCCTGTGCAGATTGGACAGGAGCCCCACCTCAATCCCTTCCCAAACCTCTCCCAGGTTTCCCCTGTGAAGATCTGTGACTTTGATTTGGGCAGTGGCATCAAACTAAATGGGGACTGCTCCCCCATCTCCACCCCAGAGCTGCTAACCCCGGTGAGGGCCCCAGGGTCAGGGCTAGGCTGGCAGGGGGGTTGGGGGCGGGGACAGGTGCTGGGGAAACGGGGACTGCATCCTGTCCCTAGCTAAGGTGCAGAGCTACTCACATGCTGGGGGCTGGGGCCGTGGAATTCTGGCTTTCCCTTAGCAACAGCCGCTGATTGGCTCTTTGGGTGGGATAGGGTGGAGCTGCGGTCAGGCAGGGCGGGGCAGGCTTTCAGCACCTGTTGATTGGGCTGGGGTGGGGGTTGAGGCGGAGCCGTGGTAAGGGGGCGGGGCTGGCCCTCATTGTCAGCCTATGATTGGCCAAGCAGGGTTGTCATTCACGGCGGGGCTCAGGCTCAGGTGACTAGGCGTTCCTGTGCTTCTCAGTACCTTGGGAAGTCCCTGGCAGTTGCCCTTATCTGCCCTCCTTCTCTACGTCCTGCTGTCACACACACCCCCTCCCCTTCCCACAGTGTGGTTCTGCAGAGTATATGGCCCCTGAGGTGGTGGAGGCCTTCAGCGAGGAGGCCAGCATCTACGACAAGCGCTGTGACCTCTGGAGCCTGGGTGTCATCCTCTACATCCTGCTCAGTGGCTACCCACCCTTCGTGGGCCACTGTGGCAGCGACTGCGGTTGGGATCGTGGTGAGGCCTGCCCAGCCTGCCAGGTGCGCAAGGGACCTGCTGTGCGCCCCCAACCCCTGCGCTGTGTGGCTCTCAGCGCCTGGCCCTTGAACGCTGACCGCATCCACAGAGTAACGCTAGCCTGACCTTAGCAGGTTTCTTGAGGCTCTTCGGGGCCCGTGCCTAACAGCAGAGAGCATTTGGTTCAGGTCGCTGAGGCAGAGTGAGGCCTATGGGTTGGGGTGATGGAGTTCCTGTTTCCTGGACAGGGCCAGAAGCCCAGGATTCAGGTCCTGGAGCCCTCAGGAGGGCAGCTCTCCAGACCAGCTACCGCTAGACCTTTGTTTCCTCGCCTTCCTAGGCCCCAGAGAGTCCCTGGCCCTGCCAGCTGATCCCAGGACCCTGGGCCTGAGTTTCACGTTGTTGTCTGAGTAGCCAGTTCAGGGTCCTTGTACCTGGTTCCTTGGCCACAGGGCAGGCCTCAGGACCCTGACAGAACCTGTCGGTGCAGCAGCAGCCCCCCCCGCCCCCCGACCCGGGGGTCCAGACTTGCCCATCAGATGTCAGGGCCTGGGCCTTGGCCCTTTGGGCTGCGGCTGATCCTTCCCTTGTGTCCTCCCCCAGAACATGTTGTTTGAAAGCATCCAAGAGGGCAAGTACGAGTTTCCTGAGAAGGACTGGGCCCACATCTCCTTTGCTGCCAAAGACCTCATCTCAAAGCTGCTGGTTCGCGATGCCAAGCAGAGGCTGAGCGCTGCGCAGGTCCTGCAGCACCCCTGGGTGCAGGGGGTGAGTACCAGCCCCATTGGGGCCAGCAGGGCATGGGGGCTTTGCCTCTGTCCGGCCTCCAGTGGCCCAGGTTGCGATTCAGAACAAGTGTGGGAGAACCCTCAGGGCCCAGTGTCAGCCCCTTGCTGAGGCGTGGTTTTGGGGCTTGGTCACGGTCATCTTCTGGAGGCCCAGGCACAGTTAGGAAATCTCCCCCGCCTGCTGGCCAGGTTGGGGTGGGGCTTCAGGAGCTGCTTAGCAAATCCCCAGCCTGTGCTCCAGAGCTCTCAGGCCTCTTCCCGTCTGGCATAGAGCAGCAAGCTAAGGTCAGCCAGGGGGCAAATGGGTGGTCAGCTGGCCTCAGAAAGGGTTCTGTTCCCTCTGACCTCAGAAGAGCCTGGCATTTCTCCCAGCCAGTGGTCGTTCAAGCTGGGGCCACCAGGGCAGGGGCCCCATGGTTAGCGAAGACCACCTACTCAAGGCAAGCCAGAGGAGGGGGCTCTGAATTCTTGGTGGGAGTTTCAGGAGACCCTGACTGAGAAGAGAGAAGAGGGGCTGGGTCAGTAATGGTTAGGCGGGGTGGCCGGTGAGCCACCAGGCCTCCACTACAGGCACTCCTGAAGCACCCCCTTCATCTCAGCTTGCCGCAGCTTCCAGGCAGGTGTACTCTTTGACCCTCGGTGTTCCAGACAGCTGGGGGCCTGGGAGGGCTGGTTTGGGGGAGGATGGGCCTTGCTGTGTTCTTCACCCCGCCTCCCTGGTCCCCTTGCAGTGCGCTCCAGAGAACACCCTGCCCACGCCCATGGTCCTGCAGAGGTGAGGCTTGCATGGGGTCTTGGGGCCTGGTGGGGGAGCCCCTAGTGCAAGGGGGGTTGTATGTTAAAAGTTAAGTTCTTTAAAAAGGCTAATCAATACCCTTTAAGTTATAGGGGAAGCTGCTCAGGCACGGGGCATCCTTGTATCCAGTGATGGATTAGGCCCTGGGCTGGGGTCGGGGGCACTGGGGGCCCACAACTCCTCCCCCAGGGCACTGCATGGGCTCTGGCATTCCAAGGGAAGCAGGGGGTACACTTGGCAGCCACCACCCTCCCCCTCTTTGATGACTACCCTGCCCTGTCCCTAGGAACAGCTGTGCCAAAGACCTCACGTCCTTCGCAGCCGAGGCCATCGCCATGAATCGGCAGCTGGCTCAGCGCGAGGAGGACGAGTTGGAGGAAGTGGAGCAGGGCCAGCCCATGGTCATCCGACCTACCTCACGCTGCCTGCATCTGTCCCCACCATCCCAATCTAAGCTGGCCCAGCGGCGGCAGCGAGCCAGTCTGTCAGCAGCCCCTGTGGTCCTAGTCGGGGACCACGTGTGACCCCCTCCCTCCCTCCCTCCCTCTGTACATTGGTCGCCCCCTTCCCCGTTAGATCTCAAGAGTTTTTTAAGCTATTGCCAGCCAGTGACCAGCGGGCTGTGCTACCCGCCCCCTCCCCCCACCATGGGTTCTGAGTTGCTCAGCTCAGCTCAGCTGGGGGTGTCTTTTTATATAAAGTTTTTGCTGTTGGGTTTTTCCTTTTTTTCTGTCCCCTACCCCCTTTTTTTCCCCTTTGAATGGTGTTAAAAGCAAACAGGTGCCCTGGGAGAAGAGCAGAGGGTGTGTGTGCTGCACGAGCCCCCGCCCCGCCACCCTGGCCCCACACGCTCACCTGTACTGTGAAAGGCCCTGTGCCCTCGCCCCTGCCCGATGTGACTCAGGAGAGGAGGACCTTAGCTGTCTTCCAGAGCTGGGGGGCCCCGGAACACACACCCCCTCCCCCTCCCAAGCCCTCACAGTGTTCTCAGGACTGGACCGATCCCGCACCTCCTTTCCTCCCAAAGGCACTCTGGGGGCCAGTGGTGTCCCGGGAGTGGGTGGGTGGGGTGAAGAGCTGCCAACTAGACCCACCCCCACTGGTGGCTCTGTCTAGGGCAGTTGGCCACTGGAGGAATGAAGGGGGGGAGCTGGACCGGCACCTGTCAGCCAACCTGGAGGTCCCGTAAAGCCCCTCACCCCAGGCACCCAAGTGCCCCTGCTCAGGGCTCAGTCTGACCATGGCCGCATCCCTGTTGACTGTTGGGTTGGCATAGAAGCTCTGTCAGCCCTGCCTCCTCCCCTCCCTGGAGCCAGGGCTGGCAAGGGGTCCTGCTGTATCCCCTGTTCCTCGAAGGCAGCATTTCCACTGTGCCCACCTTCAGGAAAACCGCCCCCTCAGACACCCAGGAACCACTCCACCCCAGTACCCAGGTCAGATGTCGTATGACCCGCTGGGCTTGGGGAGACTCTGACACCCCTCTTCGTCCTTGGGTGGGAAACACTATGCAATACAAGCTTCTTCCTTTGTGCACGTGTGTGCTTCTGCCAGCAGGGCAGCCCCCAGCCCTTACCAGGGCAGCTCGGCCTGAGTTGCGGCTGGGTCTTTAGGCAAGCCAGCTGGACAGTCCTCTGGCGTCTAGTTTTTCATTCTGTTCCATTAGTTTTTTAAGAACATCAGTTGACTTTCCTTTCCTATTCTTGAAGAATACTTGAATGTCAGAGGGCCTCGTGGGTTGGGGGGCTCGGACACTGACCCCTCCCCTGAGTCTTGTACAATTGTTGCCATCTGCAGGCTGGTGTCCATCTCCACCCACCTGACTCTGGGCTGGCCGTTCCAAAGACCCCAGGTGGGCACTTGCCCTCCCCTCCATTTCTTGCCCATCAGTGGTTCAGTGTATCCCAACTGGGGGTTCTGCCTTTTTGTGAAAGATGAGGCCTCACCCAGCTGCGGACGTTGTGGCCACTTTGGTCTGGAAAGCTGAGCTGTGAGCAGCTTTTTTTCCCCCTTCAATGGTGGGACAGCCACTTCCTCTCCCCCATCACATCTGCAGTGCAACCTGGAGGACTGGGCCAGAACCGCTACTGTGAATGAGCACCGAGGTCCCAGGGACCCAGGCTGCTGGGCTGCTCTGGCCCCAGGGGTGGGGCAATGGCAGTGTTTCCATGTCAAGATGTGTTTGAAAAGACAACTCAAGTTTTTTTAAAGTGGGGGAAAAACATCTAAGCACTTTAACTCCACTGTACCGGGCGCACTGATGCAGCTCGGAAGTTCTCCTCGACACCAACTGTCAGTGCCGGGATTTTGTATTCTGTTTTATAAGGATTTAATAAAACTCATAAAAACTTGTCCTGGTTTTCTGTTGCCACAAAGCAAGCTGCCCCAAACCTAGTTAGTGGCCCTGAACCATTGACGTGATGATTGGAATTCAGGTAGGGCTTGTGGGCGTGGCTTGTCTGCAGGGTCCGTGGGGGTGGGGATGAGGATGAGGCGGCCCACTCAGTGTCAGCCCCTAAGACTGCGTGGCTTCCCACACTGAGCATCGTGTTTTAAAGGTTCATCCCTTCGAGCGAGTACCGGCACTTTACTCCTTTTCGTGGCTGAGTGGTAATTCTGGTATCTGGATGGGCCACGTCGCGGTTCTTCATTTGTCCATGATACCACTTTTGGCCACTGTGAATTATGCTGCTGCGGACACACTGGCACAGGATTTCTGTGGACATTTGTGTTCATTTCTCTTGGGTGGACACTGCAGAAGGGATGTGAGCAGGGCAGAGGCCCGATCAGATTTCGGTTTTGGAAGGACATTCTTGTCACCTCATGGAGTGTGGACTTGGGGCCCAAAAAGCCTGGTGAGCCATTGCCACCCTTGAAGGCAGCCTGGTGAGGGATAACAGGCCTGGTGGGGGTGATGCCAGGCAGATCACAATGTGATAAATGCCAGGCAGAGTGAGGAGGTGACCCACCAGAACCTGGGGACAGTCTTGATGCTGGGTGGGAGTGAGAGGGGGGCTCTCTGGGTTGGGAGGGAAAGCACACCTATGATTCCTTAAGATAGCGGGGTGCAGCAGGTCACCCTTGTCCTGCCTAGAAATCTCAGATCAGCAGATGGCACACCCTCTTGCCACCTGGCCCTTCAGGAGGGAACCTGGGTACCCTGGAGCCTGCCCCTGCTCCCTCCATTTGTTCGGCTCCCTCCTAGACCCTTCCTCTCAGATCCCGCAAATACCCACCCCCAGACCAGGCCACCACCAGCCCCCTCCAGGACCATGGCCCAGCCAGGTCTCCTGGCCTCCCAGCCCCCAGAGGCCACATCTCAGTTTCCCCAGGCTCCTCTCTTGTCCCTTGCCTGGCCTTGCCTGTGTGTGTGGGTGGGGAGAGGTGGGTGCTACACGCCCAGCCACTACCCTCCCAGGTGGCACAGAGCCCTGCCAGACCATGCCAATGACCGTTCCCTGCCCCCAGCTGCTTGCCAAATCCTGTAACCCGGCACAGCTTGTTCCCTGAGCCTCTGCTGTAGATTTCATGCTGGTGGTTTCCTCTTGGCAGATCCCGCCCTTCCACGTCTCTCCTCCAGGAGCAGCAGGAAAATCCCGGGCTGGAGCAGCTGCGAGCTATTCCTAGGCTGGTGGCTGTGGCTGCCCTGGCTGCACTGGGCCCAGTCTCCACCTGGGTAAACAGAGATGCCAGCTTGGGCTCCCCAGCTGCCTGCAGGCACTGGCCCCACACGTCCCAGTGGGGGCCATCGGAAAGACATCTGTTACTTGGGGAGCTGCCCTCGTTCCCCTTGACAAGACAGCGTCCGTGCTGATACGTGGCGCTAACACAGGAGGAATAGGCAGGGCTATGGAAACCCTTTCTAGTAATGGCACAGTTTTCCTGCAAACCTGAAACTTTAAAAAAAAAAAAACATTTTGTTTTTTAAAACCGAAGTGAGAGAAGCCAGACATGAAAGGCCATGCAGTGTCTGACTCCATTTATGTAAAATGCCCAGAACAGGCACATCCACAGAGACAGGAAGTGGGTTCATGGTTGTTAGCAGAGTTGGGGGGGGGACTACTGTGATGGGGGTGGGACTTCTTTTTGGGGTGATGGCTGCATGACATAGTAAATGTACTGTCATTGGCCTGTTTGAAAGAATGAAGTGTTGTTGTTTTTTTATCATCACCCTAGGAAATGCTTATTGATTTTAGAGAAGAAGGGAGGGAAAGAAACATCCATTTGAGAAAGAAACACCCACCTGCTGCCTGTCATACGTGCCCAGACAGGGACCGAGTCCCCAACCCAGGCACGTGCCCTGACGAGGAAACGAACCTGCAAACTTTCAGTTTACATGACGATACTCCAACTCACCGAGCCACACTTGCTAGTGCTGAATTTCTTCTTAATAAGAATTAAAAGGATGCCCTGGCTGGTGTGGCTCAGAGGTTTGAACACTGGACTATGAACCAAAGGGTTGCCGGTTCGATTCCTAGTCAGGGCACATGCCTGGGTTGCGGGCCAGGTCTTCAGTGGGGGTCGCTCAAGTTGGTAGCCACACACTGATGCTTCTCTTCCTCTCTTTCCCCCTCTCTAAAAATAAACTAATAAAATCTTTTTTAAAAAATTAAAAGGATAAGCCCCAACCACTGTGGTTCAGTGGGTTGGACATCATCCCCCAAAGTGAAGGTCTGCAGTTTAGTCCCAGGTCAGGACACATATGAGAGACAACCAATCAATGTTTCTCTCTCACATCTGTTTCTCTCCTTCTCTTTCTCCCTCCCTTCCCCCCCTCTCAATTTTTTTTTAATTAAAGGGATGATGGGACCGAGTTTATGTAGGGCCTGGTACAGAGTAAGTGATCAATAAACGCACCAAGGAGTGACTTACCACCCCAAGGGATGGGGGGGAGTCCAGGGGCACCTCCTCCAGCCTTAGAGACGCGCAGGTTTTCATCCCTGTCATTGTCACTAATCCCCTTGACAGGCCCTCCCTGTGAATCACCCCACATTACTGTCCTCCTTAATTTTCTCATCTCCAGAGGAAATCCAGTGGCCTCCTGGTCTTAGATTCACTCAGAAGGGGGAGAAATGGGTTTAAAACAGAGCGTGATGGAATCAAGTCAGATGTGAGGAAGAACATACCGCGTGGGTCAAAGCCTGATGGGGTGAGACGGGGCGAGGGAGCGGAGGGCCGGATTCTCGCCTCTGGGGTGTGGACAGACAGCTGGGACCCAGAGGCTCCAGGCTGCATTCGTCCCCTCTGTGAAACCCATGAAGCACTCCCGCTCAGTAAGGTGTGGGGTCGGCAGGCGACCCCAGGAAGGTGCCACGGAATTTCCATCACATCCCTCACTCTTTCATGGAGACTCAGTTTCCCCATGTGGAATGTTAGGGCAACAGCTTCATCACTCCCCTGCCCAGTTCCCCTTTTGTGACCTCCTGTGAGACTGCAGGCGGCTCGGACACCAAGAACAGGGGGCTTTCCCAGTGCTGCACGCTTGGCTTGGCGGACAGGAGGTCTCTGAGGTCGGAGGTCCAAAACCCCCACACCCAAGGCCCTTGGAGAGAGCTTCTGGTGAGAGGCTGCCAAGACCCCGGAATGATTCGCAAAATGACAAACAGGGACGCACTGGCGTTGCCAGAGTTTTATATGCATGTTCCTTGTGGCACCCACTCCGCAGGTGCGGGGGCCGTATGAGGGCTGGGAGCTCAACCCCTGGTCACTCCTGGTCCAAGGTCATTACC